GAAACCATACCCATGTCCCCTTCTGTCAAGCATTTATATTTCAGGCTCTCTTAAAATGTTTTTAAAGTAAAAACCACACTTGGGCTATAAACTAATCAATTGGTATCTTTGAAAAGGCACTGGTTAATACTCTACATGTGCTCCCTGCTCCCCACTTGCAAGCTGAGAGTCATTGTCTTTCCAGATATAACACTAAATTATTCCATTGGTGCCTACCTTTCCTACCTTTGCTACTGCAGTTTCCTAAATATAGCAGAGGGCACTCATTTTTTCATGCACATGAACACAACAATTTCTCAACTTACAACAGTGGACCTCAACCCTTACTGCACATCAGAATCACTTCCAGGAACTATTAAAAAATAAATAGCTCATGTCTGGGGCCCATCAGCTGAATCAGAATTTCTGGGGGAGAAGCCAAGAATCTGGGGGTTAGGAGCTCATTTTCAAAACTCCCCAGATGACACTAATGTACAGCAGCCAGGGTTGAGAATAACTGACCTAGAATATGCTACATCCACTTCCCTTTAGCCAAATGTAGTGCTTTTTAAACTCCAATCATTCACGTATCAGTTTTGGAAAGTGGTGTGTTTCTAGAAATATATCCATTTCATTGAAATTTCAAACTTATTAGTTTAAAGTTATTTCTAAGATCTTATCTTTTAATGTCTGTATATCTGTATTGACATCTCTTTTTCTTCACTTATATTGGTTATTTTGCCTGTCTCTTCTCTTTGTAAATAGTCCCCCTAAGGGTTTATCAATTTCCAGTCATTTCAGACTAGAACTTCTGCCTGTATTACTTTTCCCACTGTACAGCTGTTCACTTAATGTCTGCTCTTATCTTATTATTTCCTCATTCTACTTTCCTAGGGCTTAACTAACTCTTCTTTCTCTAGATGTTTCAGAAGGAGACTTAGATGATTAATTTTTAAAACTTTTTTTCTAATATATGCATTTGAGGGTATAAATTTTCCTCTAAGCACAGATTTAGCTGCACCTTACAAAGTTTCATGTGCTATAGTCTCATTATCATTCAGTTTAAAATAATTTTAAACTTCTTTATTAATTTCTTCTTTGATTTATAGGTTATAGAGAAGTATACTATTTAATATCCACACATCTGGGGATTTTATTGATTTCTAGTAAATTCCACTGTGGTCAGTAAACATATTGTTAATTATTTTAATCTTTTGAAATTTGTTGAAGCCCAGCATAATCAATTTTAGTAAATGTTCCATGTGTACCTGAAAAAAATGCATATCCTGTGACCTTTGGTGCAATATTCTTTTTAACTTAGATCAAGTTTATTAATTGTACTGTTCAGGTCTTTTACATTCTAATTGATTTTCTTGTCTGCTTATTCTAATAGTTAGTGAAAGGAAATTTAAAGTCTTCTTCTGTGGCTGTGGATTTCCTGGTAGTTCTGTTTATATATTTGAAGCTATGGTTTTAGGTACATACATATTTAGAATTAATTATAGTTATAAAATGACCCACTTTATTTAAACTAACTTAAATTTCACTTTGTCTGATATAGCATAGTTCTATCACTGGGTTAAAAGGCAGTTTCATTTTTAATTTTTTGACGAAACTCCATACAGTTTTCCATAGCAGCTGCACCAGTTTATATTCCCACCAGCAGTGTACTAAGTTTCCCTTTTATCCACATCCTCACCAGCACATGTTTGTTGACTGATTGATGGTAGCCATTCTGGCAGGTGAGAGGTGATACCTCATGGTGCTTTAAATTTGCATGTCTCGCCCTGGCCGGTTTGGTTCAGTGGTTAAAGCGTCGGCCCGCGGACCGAAGAGTCCTGGGTTTGGTTCCTGCTAAGGGCACATACCTTGGTTACAGCTTATTCCCAGCCCCAGTTGGGGTCGTGTGGGTGGCAGCCAGTCGATGTATCTCTCTCACATCGATGTTTCTCTCTCTCTTCATGACTCCCTCTCACTCTATCTGAAGATAAATGCAAAAAATGTCCTCGGGTGAGGATTAAAAAACAAAAACAAAAACTTTGCATTTCTCTAATGATTCATGACATTGAGCATTTTTTCATATGTCTATGACATCATTTCTTAATAACATTTACATTTAATGTAATTATAGGATAAGTTTGGGTTCATATCTACAAATTTACTATTTGTTTTGGTTTGAAATTAATGTTCATTTTCCTTTCCTTTCTTGCCTTCTTTTTGATTAATCAAATATTTAAATTTTTTCCATTTATCTCCTCTATTAATTTTTTCCTCATATGAAATAACTTTCAGTGGTTATGAGATTGTAACATGTATCTTTGATTTATTAGATTCTAATATAAATTATGATTTTACCACATTCCAAATAATGTTAGGATCTTAGAACATTTTTAACTCCATTTCCAGACTTTTGTGTTAGTCATGCATTACAATTCTAAATATATTTTATGTATATGTATATTATATGTAATAAGATATTACTATTTGATTTTTTTTACACTGGTCTTCTTGATTTATTCATAGCGTACATTGGAAATTTTGAGAAACAACACACTTTAACAAAAGAGCACTAGCAAGCTCAAACACTAGTTTATATGTTGAGTATTTTTAAAGGGTTTAAAAAACATGCTCAAATAGCCTACGGCTTTTTCTCATTTATATAACAGATGTACTTCTATCTCTTTGTGTACAGCAAAGGGTTAGAACCTGAACTGACTTATGATTTCAGATATGTGCTATTTCAAAAATATAGTCCATGGAATTTACTTTACTGCTCCTACCACTGATGCTTCAGCTAAGCAAAGTACATAAGGCCTTATCCCTTGAAACTGCTTTTAAACAGCATTTAATTGAAAGATAGGTAGGAATGTAGAAATTTCTGGTACAGTGTCTGGACTTAGTCTTATTTAATATAGGAACTGAATATACAACAGAACATTTACCATTTTCTTTATCCTTGGAGAGAGAAAGAGGTGGAAATATGGTTGCAGTATTTAAGAGCTGCACAGGAGAACAGTGAATCTTTTATAATACCAATAACTCTACAATAAAAACAACCATGGATGTCAACATTTTCATAATTCATGCTGGATCAAAAACTTATGTTCCCCTCTATGTATCTCAATTAATTCAAACCTCATACTCTCTCCAAAATACAAAGATAAACTCAGTTAGTATTTCCTAAGCATAAGACCAAACACCAAAGGTAATCCTTCCTTCCAACATCTTTCGATATGATCAGATTTCACAGAAGTAGAAATCTAATACTTAAATATGAAATCTCTTGGCCAAGTAGTAAACTACAGCTGTTAGGGGTATTACCCTGCATAGTCAGTATTAAATTAAACCCAGCATTAACTATTCTTGCACAATTATGCTGTGAATGATAGCAGTGATGAGGCTACTGAAAAAGGACTCTCTAGTCCAAGAGTAAGGGGGAAAAATGTATAAACAAGTATAAAGCTGACAAAGAGTTGGGTATTTTCTGACCAGAAATGGTCATTTTAAACATAGAAATATAAAAAGAAAAGTATTCCATTATTTCCCCTATGTGGAAATAATACGAAACATCTATTTTATATATCAGACAAGAACAGAGCTAAGTAATCCAACTCTGCTGTAGCATTATAAAAATCATCCCTTCACCACCATGTGAGATTTAAATGCATCCACACAAGGGCACGTGTTATATAAAATGTAGTAAGATCGCTGCTATGCTATTTGATTTTTAATCAAAATTAATTTAGATATACTCTGTTCCTTCTGGCATTTCCAAATTTCTGTGCAAGATTATTTTTATTGTGCCTTTAGATATTTCCATTAGTATAGATCTGCTGAGATGCATTTTCTCAGTTTTGATGGTCTGAAATGTTTTTATTACTTTTACCTTTATTTTGAAGAATATATTCACTGAATATAGAATTCTAAGTTGGCAATATTGTTTTATAGTTCTTTTAAAATGTCATTGCATTGCCCTGGCCGGTTTTGCTCAGTGGTTAGAACGTTGGCCTGCGGACCAGGGAGTCCCAGGTTCAGTTCCTGCCAAGGGCACATACCTCGGCTGCAGTTAATGCTCAGCCTCAGTTGGCAACCAGTCAATATGTCTCTCTCACATGGATGTTTTTCTCTCTCTCTCGTCCTCCCTCTCTCCCTCCTACTCTATCTGAAGATGAATGCAAAAAAGTGTCCTCCGGTGAGGATTAAAGAATAAAAAAAAATAAAATGTCATTGCATCAAAATCTGGCTCCCAGTGTTAGCTTTTAGTCTTATTATCATTGATCTTTTGATGCTTAGTCTGTCTTTTTTCTCTAAGTACTTTTAATATTCTCACTCTGTCTTTACTTTACAGTTGTTTCACAATAATTCCCCTAAGTATTTTGGCTTTGTATTTACTTTGTGTTGTATATAATGCTTCTTGAATTTCCAACTTGATGTCTTTTATCAATTTGAAAAATTGTCATTAATTCTTAAAATATTGCATTTACCCTATGTGCTCTTTTCTCCTTCTCTGTGACTCCAATTATATGTATATTATTAGCCTTTTGGGTTGTGTCTTATACATGTCTAGCATTTTTCTATACAATCCATCTCTTTTGTTCTTTTGTCAAGATATTTTCTACTGACGTATCTTCCAGTCCATTAATCCATTTTTCAGATATGTACCATCTGTTGTTAAGTCTCTTATCCTTTTTCTGGTTGTCTTTCTGACAAATCTTTTACCTCTTTCATTCGTTGACTAACAGAAAATAGGTACTACATGAATATGTGCAGAGTTATTATACTTGTCCTCACAAAAGCAAATTAAATTTAAATGAGTCAATTTTGTTATCACTAGCAATTTTAACAAGTGAAGGAGTTGGCCCATTATTATCTAAATGAATGACTACATTCTATTTAAAATAAATAGAACTTTACAAAGAATATATAACAATTGCTACAATCTAGGTCACATTTTATATTTTTAATATACTCCATGTTTTATACCGGCTTGATGTTAAAAGTATATTTAAAAAGATACTTACTCTCTCTCCTTTTCTGTCAGCTTGTCATTGATATTATCTTTGATTGTTGACCTAGATCCCTTATGAATTATAGGATATCTGAGGGGCACTTGCAGGAAAAAGGAAATCATGGAGACCAAGTGTGCAGTGTAACCAAGGGCAACAGCAATGCTTCCATCATCTTTTGCTGTAAATTAGAAGCAGAAGAAAACAACTATTTAACTTACAAATGTAGCTATGAGAGCACAATAAATCAATTTCAAAGGAGATTTTATTAAGAATAAAATAACTGGTAAATAAAATATTAATCTTATCTAAATTATATAGTTTACATTTATACTTTTAAACTCCATTATACATTTATATTATAAACTTAATTCAATTATATTCATTTTATACAAATCTAAACACATTAATAACACTTAAAATTTTATTTACTATATTTAAAACTATTTCCCAATAATTAATGTGGTGAGATTAACATCTGATATAAATCTAAAGAAAGAATTCTTAATACACTCAAAAGCCATTAGTTTCATTTTTAAAGGTAAAAAGAATACTTGAGTCTATTATACAATGTGAAAATTAGTTTCAGAGGTTTAAACATAACACACTACCTAAGCATTTTATTCATTAACAACTTATAAGCAATATTGTTGTGTTGCTATACTACTGTACAACATTATTAACTCTAGTGTGAAGTGAAATAGCATAATCCTTCATGGAGTATGTTCTCAATATTCATGAAGATAGTGTTGTGTAAATAAGTTTGTGAAGTCTGAAATATAAGGGGGGGGGGGGGTGGCTTTTAAACAGTAAAAGCAAAAAACCACACTGTTAATATTCCTATTTAAACAATTTAGGTGGATGCAATTGTTGAATAAAATGAGTGTATCCTACAGTCAAACATAAGCACTTATCTTTTAAGAAGTCACAGAATTACACCTTTAACTCACCATCTAGACTTCTGCTACCACCTACCAAGTCATAAATAATTACTCAGGTATTCAAAACCAAGTAATATAACAAGCTTAGGCTTGACCCAGGAAGAAAGAAAAAGTAACTGCTTGGTATACAGTATTCCCAAAATATTTTAAAAAGTCCACACACAAACAAACACACACTAAAAGATTTAAACACATCATCTGGAGTACCTCTAACTAAGGAAAGGCTGAAATAACTGAGGTGACCTTGGCGTGAGAAGGGTACATTTAACTTCAATTATTAGTAATATTTTTCACATTCTCCTTTTATATTTATACTTAGTAATCTAAGCATTGCCTTCTTATTGTAGGAATGTCATTACAGCAATCTAGTTCTCAGTGAATTCTCTACCCTGACTACCATAGCAGAGCCTTGGTTTCTCTTTGATCTTACTATAAAAATAGGTAACTTTCATTATATACTTTTCTTCTGCCAGGAATTGACCACAATGCCTTATTTATGACAGTCCTTCATTCATCAACAATTACTAAACGGGGCACTTTTTATATGCTATTTCATCTCTAAATGGCAAACATTAGACTCAAAGAAGTTAAGAAGGCTGTCCAAGTAATACAGCTGGTATACAGGTTGACCTGACACTGTCTCTATAATTTAGGCATCCTATCATACTGTCTCAGAACTTAACTGTGGAAGAGATACTTTTTTTTACTTGGAAACCTAGAATATACCAAACAAATTACACAGATGTACCACCTTAGTTTCTTCGCTCTTTTCTAGTAATGGCAAAGAACACAATAAGCCTGTTAGAGATTTAAAAAATGAGACTTAGGTGATATAAGTGACTTAGTCAAAGCCATATAGGTAAAAACCAAGAGTGATGGAATAAGAGGGAGAATTGCATCTACATTCCAGCACCCAAATGATCTATCCGTGGAGTTGCAACTGGGAACAGTGAGCTGCATCAGAGGTCGCTGAATATTGCCTCCTGCTTTCTGTAAAAAGGAAAGTTTATCAAATTTAAAATACCCTAAGGACTTGGTCTTTAAGAACCTTCTTTGGAAGGGAAAGATGAAGAGGAGAACTTACAGTAATGAAGGATAATAATACCCTAAGTCCGGACATTCCTGTACATGTTCCACACTAAACTTTTCCTTTCCTATCTGACCTGACAGAAGCAACAGAAGGCCTGGATTTTTAAAAGATTTATCTTTATTGTTGAAAGTATTACAGATATCTACCCCCTCAGTGACCCCCTCCCACCCTGCTCTTGCCCCTCCAAGCCTTCACGGAACTATATCTGTGTTCTTGGGTTATGCATATATGCATGTAAATTCTTTGGTTAATTTCTTCTGCCCCTCCCCTCTTCCCTCTGAGGTTTGTCAGTCTGTTCCCTGCTTCCATGTCTCGGGATCTATTTTGTTAGTCAATTTATTTTGTTCATTAGATTCCACATATAAGTGAGATCATATGATACTTGTCTTTCTCTGACTGGCTTATTTTGCTTAACATAATAATCTTCAGGTTCCTCTATGTTTTCTCAAAGGGTAAGAGATCCTTCTTTTTTACAGCTGCATAGTATTTCATTGTGTAAATGTACCACAGCTTTTTTATCCACTCATCTACTGATGGGCACTTGGGCTGTTTCCAGATTTTAGCTATAGTAAATAGGACTGCTATAAACATAGGGGTGCAACTATTCTTTCTGATTGGTATTTCAGGCTTCTTGGGATATATTCCCAGAAATGAGATCACTAGGTCAAATGGCAGTTCCATTTTTAATTTTTTGAGGAAATGTATCTCTTCTTTGGAGACGTGTCTATTTAGGTCCTCGGCCCTCTTGATTAGCCTCCCAAATAGGTTAAATGCAAACTGTGAATGTTTAAGAAAAACAATCAATCCAATGCTAAACACTCAAACATCTACATTTTTTTCTATATTACTAAAGGGGTAATGCTAAAGAATTATTTTGCATATTTTGAGACTATATCCACATATCTATTTAAAATACAAAAATTGGTCTTCTAACATCACCTTTTTTCAAATATCAAAACAATTTTCTTAAATTTAATGATAACATGGTATCTCTGAGAAGCCTACACATGCAAACTAAAAAACAAAAAGAAATAGCAAAAACTGGAAACTGGATAATATTGGAAATCAGCTTTGATTCTGGTTCTTCATACTCACCATCGTTTCTACCACAAGACTCCCCCGTTCCACCAATTAAAACCCCAGGCTGCTTCCTCTTCCAGGCCATAGTGCTCAGTCACAGCCTCACTGTTACACCATGGTGTTGAATTTCCAATATTGAAGCTTCATATTAAAAAACATTTTAAAAGGACCACGGGTGAGGCATTACAGGGCCCAAGGGTATTCCAATACCCTCAAAAGGAAAACCACCTCCTGGTAGGGAAGTCACTTCATCACCCCAAGACCACTAACCTCCAGTGGGAAAATGTGAGCTCATGTGGTTAATTATGGCTATTGCTGGCCACAAAACCTCAGATGTCACATTCTGTTGCCAATCACTTTAGCTAAAAAACCAAAAGGTTTAAGGTTTCCAGCATTCCAAGATCTAAAAGACTTTTTACCTGCCAAAGCCCCAACCTGGCTCTCTGGGGTGTACTTTTCCAGTAAGCATTAATGACGTCCCTCACACCTAATGCAGGGCAGAGGTCTGTGCTCTGCTCGGGGGTTAGAAAGGTCACAGGTGACAGTTTTGTTGGTGAGAACAGTTGGACGGGGAGTTCAGGGAAGAACAGGAATAAACTCAGGTACGTAAAAAAAAATCCTGACTAAAACAATGTTTTAAGTGGCCTCAAACAAAACAAAAATCTGCAGTTTCCTCATAATAAATAGTTCTGATTTGTTTTTTTATATGTTGGTAGTTACTCAGGGTTGCAGTTTTTGTATAACTTTTTTGATAAAAAATTCCACAAACACAATCTCCATGACAACATTACAAGTTATTTCAAATGTCCCTTTGACTTATATTCTGGACAAACTATTAATATTTAAACACATCCATGTACAAGAAAAGCTCTTACCATCCTGCCTTCCCCATCACTGAGGCAGCTGATTTGCTAAGGAAGCAAGCACCCACTGACGCAGACAGGACAAAATACTTAAGACTCTAATCACTGCCACAGCATCTGTGGACTCATTCCACGTTCTCAATGAGACACTGTTTGACATACGGACTCTCCTTTCCAAGAAATCATGCCTGCATAAAGGGATACAGACACAGAAGGAAATCTGGGTCTCATTACCACAAAAGGCTCTGGTGTTATGGATTACTTAAAAACACACACAAACTTTTTCTTTTCTTTTTTTTAAGTAAGAAATGTCTCTGTCAATGGAACTCAAAATAATACCCCTCACCGGAGAACTTCCTCCCGTTGTGTCCAGGTCTCTTTGACACACGCTAACGGTGACGCACCCATTTAGAAAAGCACAGTAAATGTTGGGCCACCACGGAGCATTTTCCCAAACAGTATTAACCCAGGCAGTGTTAAGTCTATCCCAGAAAAGTCTCATTAACATCACAGGATAACCAGTTTGGAATTCTTTCACCAGAGTCTCTCCAAGAATGCTTTGGTTACAGCACTAAAAAGCGACACAGAAGTTTGGAAGAGGTGAATATTCAAAGCAAGTACGAAAACTGCATCATGACTGGAATAACATGTACCTTAAAATCAAGCCAACCAGGGATGACTGTATTTCCGCCACTGGTTAGTATGAGTCTTTGGTAAAATTGACTAAACTCTCTGAGCCACAACTCTCTTGTCTTTAAAAAAATTGGACATAGTTCTTTCCCTCACAGAGGAATCAATAAACAAGAGAGCATCAGGCATGGTATGTTACCATACTGCTACTCGCCCAATCCAAAACGTCCTCCCCTTTTCTCCAGAGGGAAATATGATTTCATTTTTTAAGGCACCAAGGCCACCATCTTTGCTCAAAAGGCTTTCTCAATCCTTTCCAGACAGAAGCCATGTATTTGAATCCCATGTACCTGGTATAAACTTCTAAGTGCCTGACACACAGTATGAATTCAATAAATATTTCCTGATTGTCTTCATTACAAGTTCATGGCCTGAAATCTCACTGGGGTGGGATGGATGTGTCATCTCCGTACACTCGGCACCGGGCACGCAGTGAGTTTAGTGCGTGGAAACCCCTGCAGAACGCTAACACGAGGCCTTAAAGTCCAGTACTACCACGTGTGCTTCTTCAAAGGTCTGATTCCTAGGAGTCATGGGGCATGAATAGGGCTTAGAGAAAAAGTAAACATTTCATTTTATCTCCCATTTCATTTTTAAGCAACTGCACTAAAAAGCTAAACTTTTTAAACGAGTTTGAAGAATTTATTCAGCTTGTTGGACACACACAAAGCATGGGTAGCTATTTAAAGCTATGAAAAACTCAGAAACGAACAACTTCACAGAAAACAAAAACAGAACCAAGAAACGTCGCAGAGTGGGTGAAGGTGGCAGTTCACCAATCCTGATATCCCGCTCTCCTTACTGCCTCCCTTCAAATCATTCTGTATTTAGCAGCCAGAGTAACTTTTAAAAACATAAATCAGCTCATACAATTCCCCTTCCTGAAAGCTTTCAGGCATTCTCTCCTCGACCGAGAATAAAATACAAACTCCTTACAGTGGCCTCAGAGCCGTGGCCGCCCTTGCCTGTCTCCTCTGACATAACTCTTCCTCTGGCTCCCTGTGCTCCCGCCACACAGGTCTGCTCTGGTCTCTTCTGTCCTTCCTTTCCTCCTTCTTTCCTTCCTCTCTCTTGCAACTAATTTCAATTACATTTGGATGAGTGCCTTTTAAAGGAAAAGTATTTTCAAATGTTATCTCATTCAATCATCACAATTAATTGGAGATGTAGCTATTTATTACCTCATTTTACAAGTGAAGAAAGTAAGCTGAGAGATTACAAGACTGCCCAAAATACAGGTCTTTTCTCCCATACCCCTACCCTGAGTTTTTAGATATATCAAGCCCATTCCTGCATCCAGACCTTTCTACTTGCTGCCCCACCTCTGAGTAATGCCCTCCTCCAACAGCAGTGTAGTTGGTTCCTTTCAGCCTTCACATTTTCTGTTAAATGTTTCTCCTCAGAGAGGTCTTCTCTCATCTATCTAAAGTAGGTTCCCCAATCAAAATTGGAATGCTAATATTGGTATCATATTGTCTATGATTGTATTTTCCTTTCTTAGATACTTATTACATATTTATTTTCTTGTTTATTGGCTCAGGAGGCTGTGTATGCTCCATGAAAGGAGAGAACAGACTTGTTCTTTCCATTGTCATATCCTCAAAACTCAGCACAGTGCCTGGCTCAATTAATATTTTTTCAGTGAATGAATATTCAGGATCCCTGGAACCTGGCACAGGGCTCAAGGTACTCAGTAGCTTTGTCAAATAGATGAATGAGGAAAAAGATGTGCCAAGGGCTTTAAGACACCATAACTTTACCTAAAATCAACACTAAAGCACATTTGTTTGACTTACAGAGATTGGAAGGAACACTGTACAATGAAAACCAGGCAAATCCCAGCTAGATCATTACCTAGCTTTGTGGTCTCTGGCAAGTCACTGAATAGCTCATTTACACATTATAAAATGAGATTATACCACCTTCCTTATGGGTTTCCTTTGTCTATTTTTGTGAGGATTAAAGATAAGGCAAAATGTCATGCTTTTATAATCTCCACAACAGTCATGTAAAACACGTAGGACATGAATTAATACGTTCATACTTCCAGTTAGGAAATCAACTCAAAGCTTTGATGGCTTGCTCCAAATTACATGGCTTCTAAAAAGTGAACCAGGAACTGAATACAGGTTTTCCCATTCCTGTTTTATCAGTCCTCTTTTATCATGTCCCAACTACTTGTTGTAAGGGTTGTTATAAAGGCCATTTAGAGGTAATAAATTAAGAGTCCTGCCCTGGCCGGTTTGGCTCAGCGGTTAGAGCATCGGCCTGTGGTCCCGAGAGACCCGGGTTCAGTTCCCGCTAAGGGCATGTACCTCAGTTGCAGTTTGTCCCCGGCCCTGGTTGGTTGTGCGGGTGGCAGCCACTCGATGTGTCCCTTTCACGTCGATGTTTCTCTCTCTCTCTCTCTCTCTCTCTCTCTCTCTCTCTCTCTCTCTCTGTTCCCCTCTCTCCCTCCCACTCTACCTGAACAAAAAATGGAAAAAGGTCCTCAGGTGAGGATTAAAAAAAAAAAAAGACAGTCTTACATGTTAAAGGACTATAAATAACAACATTTCTTTTATAGGGAAATGTAAGAACATCTCAATCAAAATTGGTAATGCTCTGTTCTTAAATAACTGCTTCCCAAACAGAGAATATGCTGCTTTGGAAATAATCTATAAAGCCATTCACTAGCTCTCAACGCGTTGTTTAAACTGGGGAGGAGGGTGGGACCACTTTGCTAACAATAAAAAAATCTTTTATTGCCAAATAAAAGAAGTTCTTTTCTTTAACATACTGGTTAAGAGATTAGAAAAATTAAAATATTTTAAAATCAGTAATTACTATGAATCATAGTCTATAATAATTTTAATATAATTTTTAATTAAAAGAAATGACAGAACAAATTTAACTTGTCAGAGTGAGAATGTCACAAAATTATATTTTCAAATTCATTTCACATCTGCAGAAATATGATTTTCTAAGTAATAACAGGACAGATTAATGTTTGTTAGTCTTCTGCTCCCAACCACACACAAATATTTCATGAAAATCAAACCAAAAGAATAGGGAGGTTATAAGTATTCTTAAGTACCCGACTGTCTAATTTTCTTAAAGCCCTTTAAAAACCTATTTTCTTTTAAATTTCAAATATAAAGTTCAATTACCCCCCCCCCCCCCCCCCCGATTAGACCAAATAGTCTTTGAAGTCTCCTATCAGGGAATCTGATATAAGGTCCAAGAACCCTTCTGGGGAAGTGCTCGTCAACCAACATTTTAAGATACCCGTTTCCCCTGCAGCACACCCACATACCATAGACACCAAATCTTTAGAAGAAACAAAAATACCTTGGAAGTCCTCAGAATTGGGCAACTTGACACCACAGACAAAATAATCCTTATGCTCATTCTGTGAATACAATCAAAGAATGAAATTAACTGTTTTTATGTATAAAACAGAAATTCTAAGTCAAATCTCAAAGAATTCAGCAGGTCAGTGTTAACTCAAAGGCAATACTGCCTTATACTCAAAATATTATTGTTAACTACTGAAAATGGAGGCTGAGTACATGATGGTTCATTATACTATCATCTCTATATTGACATATACTTGAAATGTTCTATAATATAAACATTTAAAACATCGTGTCTAAGCAAAAAGCCATGTAACATTTTTATCACAAACATATCCTTTGAACAATTCATAGCTATAAATTTTTAAATAGAATTAATAAGATTCTCTGAGCAACCTAAAATCCTATTAGCTTTCCTCTCAAAATATTAGTCTTTTAAATTAAAAATTAGTGTTTTCATTTAAAAAAAACATCAAATTTAGCAGATTTGGCTCTCTAAAAAAAATTTAGTTTTATTAAAGTTAAAATTTTTGCATTTACTCTAAGAAACTAGATTAAAAAACTGAACAGTATGACAGGAATATCTGAAATAATACTAATGAATATAAATGAATTAACAGTTATATTTTTAAAGCGGAGCACATGTATCTGCATGTATGTGTCAGAAATGGTGATAGCTAATAATCTGGTTGAGTGAAAAGATCCTATAGAGAAACCCAAAATAATTTGGTATTCTTTCAGATGAAGACGACAACATTCCTCCAACAAACTGGTATAAAAAATCAAATGGTGGCCCTGGCCGGTTTGGCTCAGCGGTAGCGTTGGCCTGCGGTCCTGAGAGACCCGGGTTCGGTTCCGCTAAGGGCGCGTAACTTGGTTGCAGTTTGTCCCCGGCCCTGGTCGGTTGTGCGGGTGGCAGCCACTCGATGTGTCCCTTTCACATCGATGTTTCTCTCTCTCTCTCTCTCTCTGTTTCTCTCTCTCCCTTCTACCTGAACAAAAAAAATGGAAAAATGTCCTCGGGTGAGGATAAAAAAAAAAAAAAAAAAATCAAATGGTGGAACCTAATGCCAACTAAGTCTAAATCTACTGTAAAAATAGGTATTAGCTCCTGAATGAAATCATGACAAGAGCAATGATTTTTTTCATTGAGAGGAAATTTCAAATAGAAATCATATTTAAGAAACAAAACATTTTTTTTACCTTAAAGCTTTTATTTTTATTTATTTTTTTAATTTTTAATTTTTTTTTTGTTACAGATGTTTCTCCTTTCTTACCCCATTGACACCCTCCTCCCCAGCCCCCCACCCCCACCCCATCCCCGGCTTTGTTGTCCATGTCCATTGGTCATGCATACATGCATATGAGTTCTGTGGTTCATCTCTTCCCACCCCCCCAGCCCCTCTTCTGAGGGATGTCAGTCTGTGCCCTACTTCCATGTTTCTGGCTCTACCGTATTCCTCAGACTGTTATGTTCATTATATTCCGTATATAAGTGAGATCATGTGGTATTTGTCTTTTTCTGCTTGGCTTATTTTACTTAGGATAATACTTTCCAGGTCCCTCCATGTCATCTCAAAGGATAAGAGGTCTTTCTTTCTTACAGCAGCATAGTACTCCATTATGTATATGTACTACAGCTTTTTATTGATTAATTTTTGTTACAGATGTTTCTCCTTTTTCCCCCTCTGATTCCCCCCTCCCCCTCCCTCCCTGCCCTGTCCCCAACCCTGTTGTCCATGTCCACTGTTCATGCACACATGCATATAAGTTCTGTGGTTTATCTCTCCCCCACCAACTCCTCTTCTGGGGATTGTCAGTCTGTACCCCACTTCCACGTCTCTGGGACTACCCCATTCCTCAGACTGTTAAAAACAAAACATTTTTTTAGAGAATTTGAAACTTACCAAATCAATAGGGTAAATGTAGGAAAGTTCAGATAGTAACTGCCTGCAACGAATTGTCAACTGAGCATTAGTCTTCAGAAAGAGTTCTCTAACGAGGAAAAAAAAAGTATATTTGTTAAAAAAAATATGCTTACATGCTTTCAAACATTTATCTCCACATAACTGACACAGAAAAAGATTACATGGTCTAGAGCAGGCCACAGAAACTCAGCAGTAGAGGCAAGAATAATATCTAACTTAAGTTTTGACCTATCTCTAAACACTATCAATCAAGCTAACTATATACACACTGAGACCTACTGTGTGTGTCAACCACCATGCTAAGAGGTACACAGGGTACAGATCATCACTGACTGAGCACCTACTACTATATGCCAGAAGCTTTACAAATGGCTTTATTTAATTATTATAACAACACTATTAGGTTGATATTATTACATACATTACACAGATAAGGAAATAAGGTTTAAAGAGGAACAGTAAGCTAACCAACATCTCATTTAATCTAATGCTATTTGACTTCAGAAAATATCCATATGGGAGTTCCTCAAGAAAAGTATTTTATTTTTCACTTACAACCTACATGTTATAACTAACTAAAAAAAAACAACAACCCTGCTGCCATATTAGAAAAGTAATATAAGAAAAAAAATAAACAAGGAAAAGCTGTGGCATGAAATGATGCAGCTCTTCTTTTGAACTACTTAAGAAACATAAACAACGGATGAAATAACTACAGAACAAATTACCTGCTCAACTGTGTTAACAATTTAAGAAAAAAAGGAATTTAGGAGATGTACTAGGTCAAAATGGAATGTAAACGTAGTTGTATAATGCAAACAGCATTGAAGACATAGAGATCTAATTCTGCTTTCCTGGTGAACTAGACAAACAGTAACTTCCCAGAGCCTTGCTTTCCTATCTGCAAATTGAGATGATTGGACTAGATGAAGTCCAAGGTACTTTCTAGGTCTAACATTCTTGAATCTTTAATTGCTAAGGATGAGCAAAAGAACAGGGGAGGCAACAAATTTAAGCAAGTGCTAAAAAAAATTAGTATTTGTTAAGTGAATGTTGTGGAGTAAGTAAAATTAGCCACAGTTGTATAGAACCAATGTATTGAAGGTTATTTGAAAGTTAAGTGACATAATCACTGTGGGTTCTTAAAAAGAAAAAAAAAAAGATAAAAATAGTGTTTTAAGAGGAGACATCTGATAGCAGTGTGGAGGATAACTGGAAAGATGGAAAGAATGATGTTAGAGAGATAATCTAGGAGCTGTTAAGGTCCTCCAAATGAGCTAACATTAAACAAGAGTAAATCTAAAGAAATTACTAAAGAAAAGACTATAAACTACACTACATGTAGAAGACAGGAAAAGGAGAAGATTCAAACATCAAGTCATGGTGCTGCAGCCTTGAAAACTAGAAGTGTTCTCATTTCTGATTGTGAGTACAAACTAGGAACTCAAATAACTGCCTCCAGCACAGTGCCTGGCACATAGTAAGAGCTTAATAGGTTAAATAAATGAATATGGCCCTGACCAGTTTGGCTCAGCAGTTAGAGTGTCAGCCCACGAACCAGAGAGTCCCAGGTTCGGTTCCTGCTGAGGGCACGTACCTTGGTTGTAGTTTGTCCCTGGCCCCGATTGGGATCATGTGGGTGGCGACCAGTCGATGTGTCTCTCTCACATCGATATTTCTCTCTCTTCCCCCCTCTCCTCCTCCCGCTCTATCTGAAGATAAATGCACAAATGTTCTCGGATGAGGATAAAACAAAAAATGAATATGGCACTGAGGTGTGTGGAATATAAATAACAGCAGCATTTAAAGAATCCTACTTTTGCCCTGGCCGGTTTGGCTCAGCAGTTAGAGCATTGGCCTAAGGTCCAGAGAGACCCGGGTTCGGTTTCTGAGAAGGGCACGTACCTCAGTTGCACTTTGTCCCTGGCCCTGGTGGAGTTGTGTGGGTGGCAACCACTCGATGTGTCCCTTTCACCTCGATGTTTCTCTCTCTCCCTCCCACTCTATCTGAACAAAAAATGGAAAAAAATGTCCTCGGGTGAGGATTAAAAAAATAAAAGGAATCCTACTTTTCCAAATCTTATCCTCAAAGTAAACTCGACATTCACAATTATTTTCAGAGTTTCATTTACCTTTTCGCAGTACACTCCTTCCTCAGCTCACTTAGGGATTCCTTCTGGAGTTGAAGCTTGAGGTGCTCGGTTGAAAATGTACTTCCTGGAGAGAGAAGGAAGAAGGCAATACTGATGGAACAGTGCAGACAGATGCTCAAACACAACCAAAGAGGCACAGTCCGGTCCCCAGACGGAGAGGGAAAGAAAAAGAGCTAAAGGGCAAAGTGGGTTGGGTATAGAAGTCTTCCAGGAGGATTGACTAGAATAAATTTCCCTATTGGCTTAATTTTTATAAAAGTCCAGCCTCTAGCAGGTGTCAGAGAGTAAGAGTCTAAGATTCCCTGAGTACAGATTTCTGGATTGCTGACCAATAAACCCTGGTGAGATTTCAAAATTCAAACAATTTTTTTTTTAAGTGGCTCTGGATTCTGGGTGTTAAAGATAATTCACTAAATGTGTATCAGTTGTACAAATTACCACTCTGGTGGGGGATATTGACAATGGGGGAGATTGTGTACATGTTGGGGCAGGGATATACATGAATTCTCTGTACCTTTTGCTCCATTTTGCTATGAATCTAAAACTGCTCTAAAAACTAAAGTTCATTTTTTTAAAAAGTGGTTTATTTCTGTTCAACCCAAAATGCTACATAACAACATTACTAAAAGTATAAAAAGTAGAGCAGGAAAAATTGCCTATATTTGAATACTACAATATAGTTTTTATGATCTTTCATGGTATTCATAATTCGTTTTAGTTACAATCACAGTGTGCAAGAAATGTATATTCTGATTTTTCCATATTATGTCACGAGCATTTTTACATGTTGACAGTCAGTCTGAGTTATGATGTTTAATGGCTGTGTAAAATTCAACTCCATGGATGTGAATTATAGGAACATTCCACATTCTAACTGATACCCCATACCTTAATCCCATTACAGGACATTTAATTTCCGTTAAGCATTTGCTTTAGCACTGCGATGATTAATATCTGTGTTTATATGACTGAATTTTTTATTTATGTCAACTTTTGAAACTTCCATTTCTATTTATATGAGCATAAAATCCTTTAACGTCTTCCTACCCTAAGAAAAGACCGTCTTACACCATTGACAACGCAGGCCTGATAATTCCAGCAGGCCCGAAGCACAGGGAAACAGTCTTAGATCCTGCTAACACTAAGTTCTAGGTCTCACAAAGGAATTGAGTTTGGTGAACTGTGATCCGCTGGGAAAGGGTGCCCTGCGCTCTCCTGCACACCTCCTACAGGAAGGAACAGGAAGTACATTAATTGGCCAAAGTAGTTTGGACCTTAGCACTAAATTTACCAACCTAGGTAATTTTATCAACGTATTTCCAAGTACCCTACACTTCTTTTTCAACTGTACTTAAGTGACCAGTAAGTTGGTAGTTCTGCCCCCAAAATAGAATTTAATGAAGGAACATCACTTATCTTCATGAGCCCCAATCTGATTCCTCCCCAAATCTTCCCTCTCAGTGACTTCAGAAGACATTTAGGTTGACAACCTCTACCCCCCACACCATGTACTTTTTATCAGAATGCACATACATTTTTATAGCACTACAGAAATTTACAGTATCATTCTTCATAGTTAAATTAGGCTGCACACTGCTGGTGAAACCACAAATAGGGACAAGACAGATCTGGGCTTCAAAATGCAAATGTATATACCCTCCTCAGTTTTGAAGGCTCTCTAGAATGTATTACATGACCAAGAGAGAGAAAAGACAAACAAAAACCCTGTGGAGCAAAGAAATAGAAATTTAACTTTAATAATATATTAGCCAGCTTAACATATAGGGAAAATTTTAACAACAGGTAAATCTGGATGAAGAATTTAGGTGATCTCTGTACTCTTCTTATTTTTGTAATTTTTCTATAAGTTTAGTATGATCTCCAAATAAAAAGTAAAGAGTAGATCCAAACCCAGAAAGGGGTCATCTGAAAGGCTAGGTTTTCCACAGGCTTTAGAAAGCACACTGGCACCATCTCTCCAAAACATATCAGGTTCAATTTTCTGTCCAAAGGTAATACACCTCATGGTTACCAGCGGGCTTTGGAACAAAACTAAGTGAGTTTGCCTTAGTTAGGTTCATACAGAGAAGAGCTAAGTATTTGAAGATGCCTAAAAATATTTAACCTAAGTTCCAAAAATCACATTATAAGGATGTAATAATACTGAAGCAGTGATGTGCTCAACTTCTTTAAATGTTGTTCAGATTATCTAGCACCAGCCTGAATACTACATGATTGGTGCTGTGTCCTTCTGAGAATAAGGCTGTCAGTGGAAATCGAGTTCTTCACAGGATCGCAAGGAAAGCATTCCGAGAGACTCTCGCAGTGGGAAGTTGTGGTGTGATAAGATTTATTTGGGTGGAGACAGAAGGCTGCTCCCAGGTTTCCAATGTCTCATCTCCATCCTTCCTGCCTTGGGAAAAGTCCAATCTTGTTTTCATCAAGGCCAAAAATAGGGCCAATATCCAGAGATTCTGTGCCATGTCAAAGCTTAGCCCAGTTCCCGGCTGTGCTCCAGCCGCTGGTGCTGCTATATCCAGCACCCAGGCTCACCTTGGAGCCTGCTAGTAGTCCCTGCAGTTATGGGCCACATGGCTGCTAGGGCTACATATGGGGGAGGGAGGGGAGAGAGGGAGAAAGAGAGAGAAGGAGGAGAAAAGAGAGATATTCTTTGTTAAGCTGGAATTATATTATCTCAGGCTTGGGAAGGACCAGGCTTAGACAGACAGGCCTCTATGGTCACCATCTTGACTCTGCATGCCTCATAGAAGTAATTTCCCCCCTAGTCTGAGCTAGTGGACCTGGGAGATTGAAAAGGGGGTTCTTCCTCCCTATATTGAGGAGGGAGGGGTGTTAATGCCCTTTTGGGGGGATATTGCAATCCCCTGGAGTTTGTGAACCTGCAAGTTCCTGGTTAAGCAGGCTTATGCTCCCTAGTTGATTCTACTTAATAATGTCTGAGTTTCTTTGCTCCCTTCCTTTATTAATATTTAGCTACCGGAGCTAACAATATCACATATAAAATCATTAATGTCCATCTTTAAGGCCATGCATATGTCCTGCTTCTTATCTAAATTTCCACCCAGATTTAACATCGATTGGTATCTTCTGCTTGAATCAATTGTTACTATGGTTGCAAAATAACAACATTCCAACTCCAGTATTCCCTCCATATTTATTAGTCAGCATTCAGCACTTCTCTAAGCAAGAAACCTCCCTTCTTTTTGATATTTTGTTCAGATAAGAGTGGGAGGGAGAGAGAAAGAGAAACATCAACATGAAAAGGACACATCGAATGGTTGCCACCCACACGACCCAACCAGGGCTGGGGACAAACTGCAACCGAGGTACATGCCCTTAGCAGGAACCCAACCTGGGTCTCTCCAGACCACAGGCTGACGCTCCAACCACTGAGCCAAACTGGCCAGGGTCTCCCTTCTTCATTAGCAATCTTTTATCAATATGGAACCATCAATTCCATTTTTCAATGATTCATAATTCATGACTAAATTTTGGGGCTCAAGTGGTCCCAGATTTAGCCAGTGGAACTCTCTTCAGCCTTGCTCTAGTGTCCTCTGACACGCTACCATTGTGTTATTCAAAGTATTACTTTAGCCCTGGCCAGTTTTGCTCAGCGGTTAGAGCGTCGGCCTGCAGTCCAGAGAGACCCGGGTTCAGTTCCCGCTAAGGGCGCGTACCTCGGTTGCAGTTTGTCCCTGGCCCTGGTTGGGTAGTGTGGTGGCAATCACTTGATGTGTCCCTTTCAAGTCGATGTTTCTCTCTCTCTCTCCCTCCCACTCTATCTGAACAAAAAAATGGAAAAATGTCCTCGGGTGAGGATAAATATATATATTACTTTATTTTTAATTTTTGTAGGATATGTGGTGGTTTCTTCTCTCAGTCCTGATATTGGTAATTTGTGCTTTTTCTCTTTTTATTTGGTCAGTCAGGCTAGAGGTTTATCAGTTTTGTTGATCTTTTTCAAAGAACACCTTTTGATTTCATTGATAGTCTGCTCTTTTTTTGTTTGTAATTTCACTAATTTCTGTCCTTGATTATTTCCTTCCTCCTACATGTTTTAGGTTGAATCTGCTCTTCTTTTCTGATTGTTAAGGTACAAGATTAGATTACTGATTGAAGAACTTTCTTCTTTTCTACTTTAAGCATCAATATAAATTTCCCTCTAAGCTTATACACTTTTAAATGTTGATATATTTTCATTTTCATTCAGTTCAAAACATTTTCCATCCCTGGCCAGTTTAGCTCAGTGGTTAGAGTGTTGGCCTATGGACCAATGGGTCTCGGGTTTGATTCCCTGTCAAGGGCATGTACCTGGGTTGCAAGTTTGATCCCTGGCCCTGGCCGAAGTCGTGCGGGAAGCAACCAATCACTGTGTTTCTCTCACATCTATGTTTCACTCTCTCTCTCTTTCCCCCTTCTTCCCTTCCACTCTACCTAAAACTCAATGGAAAAATATCCTTGGGTGAGGATAAAAAATAAATAAAAATAACAAAATACTTTCCAATTTTCTTTGTTATTTCTCATTGACCCATGATATGTGTGTGTGTGTGTGTGTTGTAAGTTTCCAAATATTTGGAATTTTTCAGACATTTTTCTATCAGTGATTTCTAGTTTATTTCTGTTTTGGTGAGAGATCACACTTTATATTATTCTTATTTTTTTGTATTTGTTATATTATGCCAAAAATGGCCTAATTAAATGTTCCTTGTGTACTTATGTTCCCCATGTACTTAAAAAAAATATATATTCTGCTGGTGCTCAGTGGAATGGTCTACTGTCAATTAGGTCAAGTTAGCTGATAGAGCTGTTAAGGTTTTCTTTCCTTACTCATTTTCTCTCTACTGGTTCTATAAATTACTGAGAGATGAATGTTGTTGTTCCAACAACAGTGGATTTGGCCATCTCTCTTTTCAGTTCTATTAGTTTTTGATACACACACACATACACACATGCACGCGCGCACACACACAGTTATATTCATACATGTTTAGAAGTGTTATGCCTTTTCATGAACTGATCTCTTCACCATACTATGATATCAAT